TTTTTTTATTTCCTAGTTCCAACATTTTTCCACTCTAGATAATTCATACTAAAACATTTCCATGAACCTGACTCAGAGGATAAATGTTTGAAAAATAAGTCCGTTGCCAACAATCATCAGAAAAACTATGGAAGTGAGAAGTTGTGCAAAAGTGAGTGCATATAAACATCCTGCCAGAGTTTCACTGTAATTGACTAAATAAGAAAGCAAACAAAAGATACATTCTACAAACATGCCAAAAATGATCATTCTTTCTGTCATGGTTTACTGTTTAATAATCAGAAGAAAATTCATGCAGGTAAAAAAGACTTATGATTATAATAAATATAGAAGTCTTTAACAGTATAACCCTAAATGAATGCCAGAGAATCCCTATTAAAAATATCCATGTGATTATAATAAAAGTGAGAAAAAATTATATTATGGCTCTTGCCTGCCTTGAAAGGGGAGAACTCATACTGGAGAGAAACCCTGTGGATGTACTCAATCTGGTAAATGTGGTAAATCTTTCTGATGGAGCCCCCACCTAGTTGCACATCACAGAAATTATCCCAGAGTGAAAAATGTATGAATGTTATCAAGGTGGGAAATTTTTCAGCTAGTACTCACACCTTCTTAGACATTACAGGACTCATACTGGAAAGAGACTCCATGAATGTCATGGATGTGGGCAAGCTTTCAGCAGGAGGTCTCAACTAATTAGCTATCAGAAAACTCACTCTGAATAAAAACTATTCCATTGCAATCAATGTGGGAAATCTTTCAGTCACATCCTTGATTTGCATAGAAGAAAACATAATAGGGAGAACACTTTGAATGTAGTTAATATAGGGAAATCTTTTTATTAAACTCTGGTCTTATTTCATATCAAATAACTCATACTAGAGAGGAGCTTTGTGAGTGTAATCAGTAGAGGAAATGCTTCAGTTAGAGTTCTCACTTTGCTATCAGAGAAATCATACCAGAGAGAAACTGCATGAATGTCTATAGTGTCAAAAATCAGCTATAGGCCTACAGGCCGGGCGCAGTGGCTCATGCCTGTAATCCTAGCACTCTGTGAGGCTGAGGAGGGCAGATTGCTCGAGGTCAGGAGTTCAAAACCAGCCTGAGCAAGAGTGAGACCTGGTCTCTACTAGAAATAGAAAGAAATTAATTGGCCAACTAATATATATAGAAAAAATTAGCCGGGCATGGTGGCGCATGCCTGTAGTCCCAGCTACTCAGGAGGCTGAGGCAGTAGGATTGCTTGAACCCAGGGGTTTGAGGTTGCTGTGAGCTAGGCTGACACCACGGCACTCACACTAGCCTGGACAACAAAGCGAGACTCTGTCTCAATAAAAAAAAAAAAAAAAGAGCAAAATGGATTCGTCGTCAATGCACAGCACAAACTATCGTGTGGACTGTGAGTGCCGGCCATGGGCAAGGTTTCCCGGCTGGTGAGCACCGAACCGAAGTGGTTAAAAAATATTTCTCCACTGAAAAGGTCTATAACAATAGCTACCCTAGTAGTAATGAGTACTTCTAGTGCACAGATTGTTGTCTCTGAAACACATTTCCCACTAAAAAGAACCAGGGTTCCTCATAGGAATGGCTGATTCCAGGGCTGGAGCAGGACATTTACAAAATGAGCCTACCACACCTTCTCATACCGGAAAGCAAAGAAGCTACCAAAGACTACCAGGGTCACGTCACAAGGACACAGAAGCCACCCTGAAGTGTTATATTCGAGATTCCCAAGGCCGCAGGACAGAGAGACAGAGTCACCGAGGCTGTAATTATCAAAAGGAGTTTTATTGTCTAGCTCGAGCTAGAGTCCGAGCCCCCAGAGTGCCAGCGCAGTGGCCTCTTCTCCAGGCGGGGACCCTCCTTTGTGTGTTAGTCCCGTTTTTATAACTCAGTTGTTTACACACTGGTCATGCATCCGCCCCCACAGTGATTCTTACTGCATCCTGCCCCTGATAGGCCCTAACCTGTTCCAGGTCCTAGCTGAGAGACTTCAGTTTCCGCATTCTTTGTCTTTTTCCTCTGCATCCCATAATGTACTCATAATGCCTTGCGGTTAGCAAACAAGCAGTAAACAGAAGCTGGAAGGTGTCCATTGTTCTTATAGCCTAGTATCTTACATTAGGAGCTCCTTTTGGCCAAGGTACAGTCAATTAGAGTATCAAATTATTCACTGCAGTGAATTAAAACATATCAAATGTGTTAAAATCCATGCAAATAAACATTCACTGGCCACCTTTGGAGGATGCCAGCAAATTACCTCAGTTTTCTAAAAGCTAGCAAACAATGAGAAAGAATAAATTATTTATTTTTAGTAGAGACAGGGTCTTGCCATGTTGCCCAGGCTAGTCTTGAACTCCTGTTTCCTGCCTCAGCTTCCCAAAGCACTGGGATTACAGGCATCAGCCACTGTGCCTGGCCAGAATTAGGCATTTATCCTGCCTTTCCCAAACAAACTGAACCTCAGGGTAACAAAAAAACTTGATAAAGGAAAGTTTTCCCATATGGAAGAATCCCAGCAAATAGATGTAGAAGGAAAGATAGAATTAGCAAATCACCATTTTGGAACTCCTAATGAAACAATGGGCATCAATGGCTGCTAAAATCATTTAGTGAAAAATGATGGAGAACTTATAATAGGTGGATCAGGCTGTCAACATTTGAAGTCACTGATCAAAATAAACATCACAGAAGTGCAAAAGTAGACATTATGTGCCTTCTGATATAAGCAAGAAGAAACACATATGCATCCTATGAAGGATCCTTGTCCAACAAACATACAAACTTCAATCTCATTAACCCTGTAGTTCAAACTATCAGTTTACAGGAGAAACAAGGGACAGAAAAAAAAGGCACCATTGGGATACCTTCAGAAAAATCCAGAATGTGGTAAATTCTACAGAAAAAAAATTTACCTGGTTTCAACAAATAAATCTGAACAAAAGGAAAAAGCACATGGAGGTGAAATCCATAAAGTAGGTTATGTATTTAAAAGTCATCTTTTTCCCCATTGTATCTTTTTTTCCCAATAGGTGTTGGTAACCTTATGTATTGATTTTCAAAAAGCTTGAGACAATTCACATACAATTCACTCACTTCAACTGTATGATTGAATGGTTTTTAATATACTCATAATTTTACAACCATCACTACAATGAATTTTAGAACATTTTCATCAACCCCCAAAAGGAGCAGAGTTTCTCAAACTTCCATTCACTTGAATTTCCCTTCAATACCCCTCAGCACTAGGCAACACTTTGTGCCTTTTTATTTGCCTACTCTGGGGGAAAAAAAGCACTATCTTTTAGAGATATATTCTTAGTTAGGTATTTATGGATGGAAATATGTGTCTGGGATTTGCTTCAAAATAATCTAGTGTTGGAGGCTGGAAGCAGGTGTGGATAGATTAAAATATAAAATACTGTCAACCAAGCTGAGAGTGATTGGTGCATGTGTGAAATGTAGCATTTCATTATATTATATTCTTTACCCTTGTATATTTGAAATTTTCTATAATAAAAACAAACAAGGTTGCTGTTTGCTAGCTTGGTAGAAGAAAAAAAAAACAACAAGATCACTCATTATCTCATAATGAAAAGTCTCTGAGGTGGGTTTAAGCAATGTTGATTAAGTGGCTCAAGGAGGATTCCATCACTGACTCCAGTTCTTTCCATCTTTCTGCTCTGCCATTCTCAGTATGTTGATGTTGCCTCCTGGGCTGGCTTCCTCATGGTGCTGGCATGATTGTGACAGTTCCACATATCACATGCAGACAACACTGCCCAGAGCCAACAAAAGGGGACACACTGCTGTCTTCTGTCCATTTTTAAGACTGAAGGAAACTTTCCCAGAAACCCCCAGCAGACTTATTTCTCCTTGGCCAGAATGCCCTTGCTAATCAATCACACAGGAAAAGGCCTGAGACCACTCTGATTAGCTTAAAACCTAAGATCTCCTTTTGGGAGTTAAATAGATTGTAGACTTCCTGGAAGAATCTACAAATTGCAGGGCCATGTTAGCCATGTATGAAATAATCAACTAAAAAGGTGATGGCTGTTGAGTAAAGCCATTGATCAGGTCAGCCCCAGGAGGGTCAAGGCAAGGAAGGCTGGTTACAGATACTCGAGCAGGTCCAGAATGCTTCCCGCTTGTCTGGCAGAAGTAACAATGTTTCCTTGTGGTCTCCCTCCTTGAAGAGCCAGGACTGGACGCAGGTGGTATGTCTCACACTCCTAGCCGACAGCACAATGAGATTGAATAGACCACTGATGGCCATACCATATACAATAATAGAACTCTAACCCACAACCTCTGCAGCAGTAGGCCCCAAACAGTCAGCGCTCGGTCACTTAACTACCAGCTTCCCTATTTTTTTGTCCATGTCCCACCTAGGAGCAATCAGAGAAAGCCAAATATGCTTCCCGGAGCAATCACATAGGATGAGTCGCTTCTAGTTAGCGTGCTTCCAACGTCCCCCTCAACGCACTCCGACCGGGGCACGCCCGGCCTGTCCTTTTTGCCACTGCGAAGCGTTCCCACTCCCTTGCCTGCCTCTGAGTCTTTGCCGACGCAAGGGGAGGAGGTGGGCGCCCTTGCGCCTCGGGCTCTGAGTAGGCAGCCCCGGGAGGCTCTCATCTGGCCGTCTCGGTCTCGTCCTACGCCGGTCAGGGCGCTGCAAGACCCCACCAGAAACGGCCACGCCAGCCCCGTCCAGACACGACCTCGACGCCGGCCGCGACCTCCATATTCTCGGCCTCGGCCGCCGCCTGCTCCCGGGGGCCAGCGGGACAGGCGCGCCGCGGGGAAGAGCTGCGGATAGCCAACTTCCCAACCCTCTGCAGCCGAACGGAAAAACTGCAGCACCTCCTTGTAGCCGGCCTCTAGCTCTCGCCCACTTCGGCCTAGCCGCAGCCGCCAGAGCAACGGCCGTGGGCGCGCGGCCTCCTGGGAGTTGTGGTTCGTTACGCCGAGCGAGGCACTTCCGCCGCCCACCGGAAGCGCCGCCCTTCCCCGGCGCGGGCGAGGGCGCGCCTGATTTCCGAGGCTGGCAAGTTTTTCCCGGTTAGCTGTGCGCACAGTGAAGGGAGGACTGGGCCAGACCCACCCGAAGTGACCCGGGCCGCGCCGGGGGAGCGTCCCCCTGGCTGCTCCTAGGCCCGGCCGGGGTTGGTCTGGTGGACGCTGTTCCCCGCAGAGGCGGTCCTAGGGATCTGGCGGCAGTACCTTGTCAGCCCCCAGCTGATGTTGGGGTTTCAGGCCGGCGTACGAGGACCCGAGGGCTGTGTACCCGGGCTGGCCTCTCATGTCCCCTTTTATCTCCCTCAGTTCATCGTCCGGTCTCACCCCGGGGAGGCGCACCGTGCACCAGGTGGTGGCCAAGAGCCTCCTGGCAGCGGCAACACGCGAGTGAGGCCTACTGCACCCCACCGGCATCCCAGCTCCAGGCCGTGGACCTCGAACTCAGTTTGAAGGAAAAGTACGTGTTTTCCATGTGAACAAATGATTAAGGCTAATCTAGGCAGAGCGGTGGCAACTGGGGTGTTGGAGGCCTGTACTGGTTGAGTGTTGTTGATGTGCCTGAGTTAGGGACTGCAGAAGTGAGCAGGATGGTGTGTGTGTGGAGAGAACAGGGACGTTGTGATCTGTGAATGAAAGACCAGGGTTCCATTTGTGCTCTGGCGAGACTCGATGGGACCTTACAAGGCAGTGCTACTGAGGAAGGCACAGGGTTGGATTTTAAAGAGCTTAAGAAGAGAGAGAAGCATCTGGTTGTGGAAATAACTCAATGTAAGGAGGGATGCCCAGGGAAGAGAAAGAGCTGAAGAAGACTCTTTGTTTCTGTTTCCAGCATGGAGCCAGTGTGGAGGTCACAGTGCAAGGGAGATGAGGAATTCCTGGTCAGTCTTTGTGTGGAGTTGAGGAGCTGTGGGTGACATGGCTTGATGTGGAGGAGGGGATGGCAGTGGCTGGAAGCCTAGGAGGTCTAGACTGGACATGAAGTCCCAGCCCTGCAGCCAGAGGGATCCTTCCAGACCAGTCCCCTCCCAGGTCCATCATGAGGAAAGGAAGGGGAGTTTTATGTCCAGATACAATCATTATGACTAAATCTATTGTGTCTCTTCTGCATGTCAGCACAGTGTTAAGCTCTGTAAATGCAACTTATTTAATCCTTCCAGCGTCCTCATGAGGCAGGGCTTGTAAATGAGGAAACTGAGGCCTCTGTAGGTGAGGAAACAGGAGGCCTATTCAGGGTCTTGCAGTGGCAGGTGGTGGAATCAGGACCTTGAAAGCAGGTCCTGCAGAGTGATCCCAGCCCTCACCCCTGGATACCTCCAGACAAAGAAGGACAAGGTCAGAGGGCAGACATAGACACAGGCAGTGTGGGATTCCCCAGAGTCAGCCAGAAGCAGCAGGACAAGATAGTATCACATAGTTCTTGGGCAGCCTTTTTGGGTGTTGTGTACATTTGTGCGTGCGCGCGTGCGTGTGTGTGTGTGTGTGTGTGTGTGTGTGTCTGCCTGTCTGTGCTCAGGGGTGAGAGGGTAGGGAATGGATGGGCAGGGTAAAGAGGGGGAGACTAGGAAAGTTGTTCCTCCGTCAGGGGCTCAGCTGAGAGGAAGAGGGAGGGGGGTTGGGTACAGGGATGTGGATTCCTCTTGACCAGAAGGAAAAATTCTCACCTCAAAAGTTGAGGGGAGCTGCTAGGACAAGTGCAGGCCTGGTGGAGTTTGTGCTCTAGGAAGTTGGCAGAGTCTACGGAATTAAGAGGCAGGTTTGTCTGCACAGAGAGGGCAGTGGTAGGAGGCGCTGGATTGGGAGTGCGAGCATGGGCAGCTGTAAGGGGATGGAGATTGAGTGGATATTGATGTTCCTAAAGTCTCATACCACCCAGGACTCAGAAACCCACAGGGGTAGACAGAAAGGGTAGTCAGAACATGAGGCAGACTGCACAGGGTGACCAGGTCAGAGAGACCAAGAGGTGGACCTGGGGCCAAGGATGCCAGGAAAGAGATAGGGCAGTGGGGTGGGTTGGGGTCTGATGGAGGTGTGGCAGTGTGCTTAGGGCCACAGACTGCGAGCTTTCAACTTCCTACTCCACAGCCATGAGGCCTTAATTAAGTTTTCTCAAGCTTTTTCTGCCTCAGTTTCCTCATCCACTATACAGGGAAAATACTGATAATTGCCTTTGTGGGGTTGCAAGGAGAATCAAATTCATGAATTCAGTCAAAGAACAGGGTGCAGTGCCTGGTCCATAGGAGGTACAGCCTAAGAGGTCATGGATTCTGAGGGGCAGGAAGTGCAGGGCAGTAGGCTGTAGTCATAGGCCCCACTGGGTTTTAGTTCATGTGTCTTTAATGCAGAGCAGCTTTTCACATTTATCAGCTTTGCAGTTTATTTTATTGTGAACTGCCTGTTTGTCACTGTCTGTCACTTGCTCTTCTTTCTCACAAGTCTTTATTTTCATTAAAGAAGCTTAAATATAATTTTGTCTTGTTCAAAAAATAATTCTGTTGGTTGAGAATTCTTACAAGAAAAAATAATTCTGGTGGTATTTTTTATTGAATTTACAGATTAAATTTAGGGAGAATTAACCTCTTTTTAAGATAATATTTGATGTCTAAATCCAAGAGCAAAGAGAATGTGGACCTGTCACACACTGATGGATGGAGGCATAGCAGTGCAAATGGCAATAACGTTTTGCAGGAATTTGGGCAACATTTACTGAGATTTTAAAATGCAGCCTTCCTTTGACCTTGCAGTTCTACCTCTTAGAATTTTTCTTTAGAAAATAAATACACAAATGTGCAAAATATATGCATAAAGATTTGTTATCCACCGTTTGTAATAGCAAAAAAAACCCCAAAAAACAAAACAGGGAAACCCTAAATGTCCATCAAAATCAATTATGGTACATGTGTGGAATGGATTACCAGATAGCCACACAATTGATGAATATGTGGAGGTGTGTGATGGAGTCAAGCAAACATAATTGAAAAAGACCACCAAATAGGTGTATGTTGGCTCTATATGTGTATCTGTGTGTATAAAGATGAAGCACATATTTTATTTTGGCTGGACACAATGGCATATGCCTGTAATCCCAGCACTTTGGGAGGCCAAGGCAGGAGGCTGGTAGTTTCGGAACCAGCTTGTGCAATATAGCAAGACCCTGTCTCTACAAAATTAAAAGAAAAAAAAATTAGCCAGGCATGGTGGCGCATGCCTGTAGTCCCAGCTACTAGGGAGGCTGAGGCAGGAAGATTGCTTGAGCCCGGGAGTTTGAGGCTACAGTGAGCTATGATCACACTACCGCACTCCAGCCTGGATGACAGCAAGACCCTGTCTCGAAATGAAAAATATGATGCATATGTTTTATCTTATAAAATATAAAAGAAACACATGCTTTTAGATGCAAGTAACATTTCTGAAAAGATATGCAGTAATTCACAGCATTGCCTTTTGGAAATGAGACAGTATTTGGCCTTTTCATCTTTCACTTTTGTTTTTTATATAATGAATATGATATTTTTTTTTTTTTTTTTTTTTTTTTTTGAGACAGAGTCTCACTTTGTTGTCCAGGCTAGAGTGAGTGCCGTGGCGTCAGCCTAGCTCACAGCAACCTCAAACTCCTGGGCTCAAGCGATCCTCCTGCCTCAGCCTCCCGAGTAGCTGGACTACAGGCATGCGCCACCATGCCGGCTAATTTTTTATATATATATCAGTTGGCCAATTAATTTCTTTCTATTTATAGTAGAGACGGGGTCTCGCTCTTGCTCAGGCTGGTATTGAACTCCTGACCTTGAGCAATCCGCCCGCCTCGGCCTCCCAAGAGCTAGGATTACAGGCGTGAGCCACAGCGCCCGGCCAACTTTTAAGAAATTTAAAATTAAAAACTTGTTAACATTTCTCATGAATATTATTTGTTGAAAAACTTACTTTAAAGGCTTTGGCTGGGTGCAGTGGCTTCCACCTGTAATCCACAGATTGGTTGACACTTGCCATTGAGTGTTTAGGCTGCATCCATATATTTTTTTCCACTACCATGTGATTAACATCTTTATTCTTATATTCTATCTTTTTGGTGATGGGATTTCTAGACTTGAGGTCTTGATTCAGGTGGTTTTATGTGTTGCCAAGCTATTTTTCATTTGTACCAGCTTCCCTTCCCAGCAGCTCTCATCACCCCATTCAGCCTGCATTTGGGGTTCTTGTTTCTTTTTGGTAAGGTGAGGCAGCTTCTCAGGTGTTTGTTTACTCAGTTGTGACTTGGCTTTTGGACTCCTTCATTTTTTTTCTTTTCTTTTTTTTTTTTGAGACAGAGTCTTGCTTTGTTGCCCAGGCTAGAGTGAGTGCCATGGCGTCAGCCTAGCTCACAGCAACCTCAATCTCCTGGGCTCAAGCGATCCTTTTGCCTCAGCCTCCCGAGTAGCTGGGACTACAGGCATGCGCCACCATGCCCGGCTAATTTTTCCATATATATTAGTTAGCCAATTAATTTCTTTCTATTTTTTTTTTTTTTTTTTTTTGAGACAGAGTCTCGCTTGTTGCCCAGGCTAGAGTGAGTGCCATGGTGTCAGCCTAGCTCACAGCAACCTCAATCTCCTGGGCTCAAGCGATCCTTTTGCCTCAGCCTCCCGAGTAGCTGGACTACAGGCATGCGCCACCATGCCCGGCCAATTTTTTCTATATATTTTTTTAGTTGGCCAATTAATTTCTTTCTATTTTTAGTAAAGACGGGGGGGGGGGGGAAGGGTCTCTCGGTCTCTCTCAGGCTGGTTTCGAACTCCCAACCTTGAGCAATCTACCCGCCTCGACCTCACAGAGTGCTAGGATTACAGGCATGAGCCACCACGCCCGGCCAGGACTCCTTCACATTTATCTGTTACTGACTTTTACAGGAAAATAATGAGATAGAAAAGCCCTCCTAGAGCTTTTCTAGCCTCAGCTCACCCATTTCTCAAAACAAATCATAAAGAGATGAAAGAAATAAATGAAAAAGGCACCCAGCAGAAAAGCTGCTGGGCTTCAGAACTATTAGAGAATAAGATTCTGTTGTTTTAAGCTATCAATTTTATTAGATTTGTTACAGGTGCCGTAGGACACTAATACACTGGCCAAGCAGCTTGCTCGTCCCTGGCAGCATTTGCCAACGAGTTTTTCAGCAAGCAGGGTTGGGGCACTGTGGCTCTAATTTATTGGGGCAGTGTCTCTGGTGCAGCCCAGCCTGGAAAATGGCTCATCTCTCAAGCCACAGGAGCCAGACTCTGGCCCCCATCAGCTTCCTAAAGGGCCACTGCAAGCCACAGGTGGAGGACCATACCCACCATCACTTTGCTTTGCCTCCTGTTCCTCATCCATGGAGAGATGTTCATGCTGCTTTTTATCCTCCTTGTGTTTCTTACGTGCTTTCTTTTTTCTTTTAGACAGTCTTGCTTTGTTGCCCAGGCTAGAGTGAGTGCCGTGGCGTCAGCCTAG